ACCATTGCTGCACTGGAACTTTCGGCAGGCTATCAGCGACTCGCCAAAAGCTATCAGCGACTCGCCAAAAGGGATATCCCATCGCCAACTGGCCATAATTTTTAAGCCAATCCTGTCGGTGAGCCCGCCCTAGCTCGCCAAAGCAATTTGGCGATTCATCGATTTATTCAGCGAGTCTTTCTACAAATTTGTTTACATGAATTTGATTTAGTTTGTCTAACTTTTCCCACTATAACTGCAGACATGGCTAGGTTTAAAGTTGCTGGGAGAAACATGCCACGCCAAGGGAAAGCAAATGGGATTACACTAAATAGGAATGCAGTTGCATCCAGTGACAAAGCCACAAAATTGTCGACAACTGGTGAGAAAGACAAAGGTAAAGGCAAGGCATCCGAGTTATCCGAGCAATCTCAGACAGCAATGGCATTTATACTACTTATCTCACCCCATCTGAGAGTGAGGGTGAACAACAGGGAAACCAAAGTGCGGATTCTGAAGAGGATGAGCTGATAGAGGAACAGAAGGCGGAGTCACAATCTAAAAAGTTGAATGATCCATCTAGGGTCAGGAATTCTCAGCCTACCACTCCTACTCCTCCAGCCCCAGAACAAGCAATAGTGTTGGCACCTCTGGTACAGGGTCCTCCGCCTAAGTCAATGAATAGATTAAAGACTGAGGAGTTGAGGACGATCCTTGAAGAAAATTGTATGTCCACAGATGGGGTTATCGATAGGTACCCAGAGATAATGGAGTGCCTGAAATACTAAAAGTTCCAAATCTTCACCAAACCCCATGGCCATTATATTCCAAATTGGGTAAGAGAATTCTACAGTGCATACAGTGCACTAACACCCCAGAAAAAGCAGCTAGCACCAGCCTTCAAAGAAGTTGACTATGTGGTTGTTAGAGGCAAGAGGGTGAAGTGTGATAGTGAGGCAATCATCGTAGTCTTGGGCATGTCCACGAATATTAGGGATCACTGCCATCACTTGATCAGAACAGAGAAATTGGATGAGATGAAAAAGTGGTTAGCCCCACTAATTTAAGATGATACTCCGAAGTGGTTGACGGAAGGAGTTCCGATTGAAAAGAAAGAACTAAACATAGCTGCACAATTTTGGTTCGGTTTTATCAGCAGCACAATTATGTCGTCCCAGAATGAGTCAATCCTTCGCCTTGCCAAGGCAACCTGCATGGGTTGCATCATAGAGAAAACTCGAATAAACTTGGGTACGATCATTGCTTCAGATATACTCATGCGTGCAAGGCAGCGTCGGACCTCACTTTCATTCCCAATATTGATCACAGAACTGTGCAAACGAGCTCAGTACCTCAAGATGCCAAGAAGGATGTGGAAGTGATGCCCACATCCTCTATTGATATTCGGAGGATCGAAGCTGAGTACCTTAAGGATCAAGCAGAAAGGAAAAAAAAGACAGCATTGGTGGAGTCAATAAACACAAAATCATCACCTAGAGGGACATCTTTGCGTACTCCAACCCCTGGGCCTTCTGGTATATCTATTGCCACTGCTACTCATGCTGATACTCCAGGTTCTTCTGTTGCTGCACTGCCTCCCAAACCTACTGTTGTTTCCCGGCTTCCACTCACCCAGGCTTCCTTACTCCGAATGGGGTAGCTTGCCCAATCTGCCGATTGTTGGGCTGCCAGCTAGAGGCCTCTGTTCCGGGCATGATTCAGGCTGGCCTCGCTGAAGTTGTAACACCACTGAGCACTACCATTGATGCCTTAGCGGCCAGGATAGCGGTGTGTGAGCGCAACTAAGGGGCCACAGAGGAGGTGACGGCTTTAAAAGCCGCCATTGCTAAACTTAGAAAAGATGTGGACTACCTGAATTCCACCGATATATCCATGGTCTTTGGAACAGTGGAGATTCCAGATGTGCTTTAGATGCCTCAGACCACCACCAAACATGGAGATAAAACGGAGCAGACAGCAAATCCTGAGTTAGAGGCGGAGACCGATGATGAGATGCTCGAGGAGACTGAGGGAGCGGCAGATGAAGAGCTGACTGAGACTGAAGCAGCTATGATAGATGCGGCTGTGCAGGCTTCCCTGGCACATACACCGTTTGCTGGATCTAGTGGAGCTGGTCCTTCTAAGGTTACTCCAGTCAATGATGCCCAGACAGATGGAGCGACCATTTAGACAGGATCCCCTCTTTACCTCCCACTCTGTATTTTTTTATTCTGCATTCTGGATTGTGTGTTATTTGCATTTAAGGACAAATGTTTGTATTTGTGGTGGGGGAAGGCCCACCTTTTTGTGTTATTGATGTTCGTGTTTCTTATATATTTTTGGTTGTGAGCTATTACTGTGTTATTACACTACTTTTTGTGGATGTTTGAGCTTGTGGCTCCGTGTTTTAAATTGCAAAATGATTTTGACCATTCCAAAGAAATTTCGCCACCTCTTGTATGTGTTGAAGGTAGTTGTTCTCTTGCAAATTTGAGTATCGGTTCTGCTCAATACCAATGACTTGAATAGTACTTATAATCTAACGAACATGAATGTACGGCTATGATGAGACCAAATGAAGTTGCATAGACAATATGTGAACTCATTGCATCTCGTTGTGATTAGCCATGTATCAAATCGATTCTCTTGTGATGACCGTTGCACACTAGCGAAAGTATGGAGTCTTGTTTGACTTTAGTGTTGATGTCTTGTGTGATAAGCTTACTGGGAACCATGCATGATAAAACCTAGAATTTGCCCTGTTGATCTGGTCGACTAAGTAAGGCTATCTCTTAATATGATCTTAGGCAATTTGACATATACCTCTTTTGTGGCCTACCTCGTGAGTGTGTGAACCTCTTTTGAACACCCCTTGAGCATCACTTTTCTTTGGAAGAAACTTGATAAAACAATGACCTTTCTTTACCAATACCCATAATCCTCATGATTTGTGTTTAGATTGAATAGCCAACTTAGGCCAAAAGCCTAAGTTGGGGGTATGGTGAAAAGACATGGTAAATCAAGAAATATAAGAAAGCCCCCTTCTTACCCATGGTTTTGAGAAAAATGGAATCCCTCCATACAAAAAAAAAAGAGAATAGAAAGAAAAAAAAAAGAAAAAAGAAAGAAAAAGTTATGGAATAAAGTTATGAAAATGCAAAAACAAACGGGGTTTCTAACTATCCATGGGAAGTGAATAATGGGACTACTTGTGAGCACAAATGAGAATGATGAAGAAAAGGAAAGAAAGTGTTGTGAGCACCACATTTCATGAGGATGAAATTCACTGAGCCTAAATGACCATACATTTGCACTCTGCCCCACTACAAGCCTTGTAAAGACCTTTTTTATCTTTAGTGAGCTGAAACAAGTGTCAATTGAAAATTATGGGCAAACCTATGGGTGAAAGCATGCATAATGTTCTTCTTTTTTAGTGTGAGCGTTGCATTTTATTCTGAAGCTTTATATGATTAAACCTTTGAGTGTGGAAATGGAATCATCCTTTGTGTGAGGGCATTCAAGTACTTTTGTTGAGCTTGAACTTGCATGAATCTTTGGTAATGGTGTGTCACAACTTTAATCTTTGGGTACACAATTGATCCTTGCATGAGTAAATTGAGTCTTGTTGTGTACATTCATGATCGAGTCTTGTGTAGCACTATTTGAGACATCCTTTTAGAACTGCTGAACTTGAGTTTTACTTGAGGACAAGCAAAAGTTTAAGTTGGGGTGTTGATGAGTCCACAAATTGGACTCATTTAGGGTTATATTTTGATAGAATTAGTGTCCTCAAATGCATATTTTGTCTCGATATTTGATGAAAACCCTTAATTTTAGGCATTTGGAGTTTGAGGCAAAGCATGGACACTATTTAGCAAAAAGGAACAAGGCGACTGAAAAGAACGAAGAAATGAAGGCCTGAAGATCGTCGAGCCCAGTTGGAGAGTCGTCGATCGGCATGGCGCCTTTTGTTCCAGTGTGCCGAGCAGTTTCGCGAAACAATACCATATCGCCCAATGACTCGAAACGCGAAGAGGCTAAAGGACAAAGCAGGAAGGCGATGAAATCAACCAAAAGGCGGATCGCCGAGTGTATCGACGATCCTGACTAACTGCACAAAATAGTCCTCCGCAGCACAAATTTTCAAATATTATAACTACTTGTTTTAAATTCCTAGCTTAGCATCAATCAATCAATTATTCTATTATCAAATTTTTAGAGTTTTTTGTGAGAGTCTAAGTTTTAGAGGGTTTTAGAGACTTTGTTCTATGACCTTAAAGATTCAAAGGGTTTCAACACCGAGAAATTGGACGTAGGTCTCGAAGATTCTTCACTCTTGACATGTTAACAACACATCATGAGTAAAGACTAAAGAGCTAATACAGATAAGCCCTCCCCTGATATTCGATCTGAATACCGCGAGGCACATCAGGAAAGAGATTACCCAGGAAGAACTTACTTTTGGAAGTTGTGGAATCCATTTAGAAAGTTGAGTACTGATGACTATTCTCTATCCATCGGGAAATTGATCAAAGTTATTTTTCAAATTATTTTCTATGTTTCGTGATTAACGAATTAGTCCTATGATTGGAATATGTGGATTCTCAAATTTCTGTCTACTTTTCTGCACTTGTATTTGCAAGAAAACATTTGTTGATACTTGTGCAAATGATTCATGAATCAGGACCAAAAGTTGGATTTGCCCATTTAGTTACTTGACTGTCTATAAAATTCTACATTGTCAATGGATACTAGTTAAACGCATATTTTTGTCCATACTTCACATAACATAACAATCTTGGAATTATTATCCTGAATTTAAATGCCAAAATGACACATAATTCCTTTTTTATAAATCTTCTCTTAAATAAGTTTAAAATTTAAAAATAGTATTAATTCTCTCTGATTCCCGCTCAAAGTTGGAATAGAAAACCTAATTTGTGTCTTTATAAGGTGTTACTGCCTCTCTCTTTTTCAACATTTTATTTTCTTGAAAATTGTATCATTCCTTGGTTTCTTCAATGGCTTATCAAAGGCCTTTGCTTAGCATGAAAAATACTTTCGTTTACAATTTCTTTCCATCAAAAGCTGAAGAAGAAACTTGCAAAGTTAACAACACTCCTGTCACGACCCAGACCGTCGTGATTGGCACCCACACTAACCCTCGGGTGGGAGAACCATTACTACAACCCGAACAAACAAATTTTATGAAAACTAAGGCATTTAAAGATATGGAAGCAGGTTTCAATGACAATAAAAATGGAGTTCCCATAAACTCCAAGGTTTTAACAAACAACTCACCAAACTAATGCGGAAGAATAACCCTTGGAACCTGAAAGTCATTGTACCAAAACTCTACTAACGACAAGTCTAAGAACAAAGGGTACAACCCCGAAACTAAACAAACACATTAACAAATAGTCTGAGTCTGAAAAGAGTGGACTTAAAAAAGAAAGATCCATGGCAGCCTAAAAGAACTGGCTCACCCTAGAATCCGATCACACTTAATAGTCACCTAGCTGAAGTCTATCAATAGCCGCCTAAAGATGCCCTGTACTCAACAAAGAACAAGCAAGTACACTATCAGTACACAACCACCGTGTCCTGGTAGGATCACGCAGCTATCCCAAAGGTGAAATATACATAAGAAGTCACAACAAAGTAAAGCACACATATATAATACTAGTCATCACTTACAAATAACGCGCAATTTCACAAGTCTTAAAAGATACAATTATCCTTTTAGAGCAACATACAATCTTTCAATATCAATCATCATTAGATATGAACGTAATCATCACAAGTATATGCACAGAACAATTCAATGGTCCTCTCAGGGAACCCAATTCAATGGTCCTCTAATGGAACCTGAACCCAAACTATTAGCATACCGTTTCGTGGTACCATATCCAAGTTAGTGTGCTGGAACGTGGCAACCGATCCTATGTTTATGCCAGAACTTGGCAACCAATCCCATGTTTACGCCGGAACTTGGCAACTGATCCCATGTTTATGTCGTAACGTGGAAACCGATCCATTCGACAAGCCACAATCACAATCACAATGGACATTCTCATAATCATACAATCAAGTGTGGATTCATGGCATACAATTATTCATTCATACTAAATTACATTAGGTGTGATCAATAGGTTTCATTCACATACATACATGCATTACAATGAAGCAATTACAAACATGTGTCACACCAACATGAAATCACAACCATCAGCTACCTCAAATCCAAGCTTGAATCCCCTAAGGCACTTGAATCTTCTCTTTCCGGATTATGTCCATTTGTTCTAGGTCTACACAGAACAATTTATAAGCAAGGATCAACAATCAACGGTTTAATTATCTGGATTACAACGAATTCAATAACCCTAGACCAACCATTGATCCCCATACCCAGATTAGGTCTTTTTCCACCATAGATTCCAGATGAAAACCCTCCCCCATTAATAATTACCCAAGAAACTAAGTTCTACGGATTGAAAAATAGATTCGGGGAGTGAAAACCTTACCTTACGCCTCAAAAATGGTGGAAAACTGTAAAGAAGCACATGGGGTTTGTCTCCTTACTCTAAAAATCAAAAAGTGTAGAATAAAGACGTTTTGGGGTTTATTTCCAGCTTAAGTCACGTCGGACCAGCCACAGCGGTCCTCACCCCGCTAAATCGGCCCCACCCTGGCGGCAGAATTCCCATCCCAGTGGCTTGCACGAAACCAGTGAGCTATTTTAATAATTTCAAGACCCAGACCGTCGTGATTGGCACCCACACTAACCCTCCGGTGGGAGAACCATTACTACAACCCAAAAAAACAAATTTTATGAAAACCAAGGCATTTAAAGATACGGAAGCAGGTTTAAATGACAATAAAAATGGAGTTCCCATAAACTCCAAGGTTTTAACAAATAACTAACCAAACTAATGTGGAAGAACAACCCCTAGAACCTGAAAGTCATTGTACCAAAACTCTACTAACGACAAGTCTAAGAACAAGGGGTACAACCCCAAAACTAAACAAACACCTTAACAAATAGTTTGAGTCCGAAAGAGTGGACTCAAACAAGAAAGATCCACGGCAGCCTACTAGTTGAAGTCTATCAATAGACGCCTGAAAATGCCCTGTACTCAACAATGAACAAGCAAGTGTAGTATCAGTACACAATCGTCGTGTACTGGTAGGATCACACGGCTATCCTAAAGGTGAAATATACATAAGTAGTAACAACAAAGTAAAGCACACATATACAATACTAGTCATCACTTACAAATAACGCACAATTTCACAAGACTCAAGAGATACAATTATCCTTTTAGAGCAGCATACAATCTTCCAATATCAGTCATCATTAGATATGAATGTAATCATCACAAATATATACACAACACAATTCAATGGTCCTCTCATGGAACCCAAACCCAAACTTTTAGCATACTGGTTCGTGGTACCCGATCCAAGTTAGTGTGCCGAAACGTGGCAGTCGATCCCATGTTCATGCCGGAACGTGGCAACCGATCCCATGTTTCTGCCGGAACGTGGCAACCGATCCCATCTTTATGCCGAAACATGGCTCCGATCCATTCAACAAGCCACAATCACAATCACAATGTACATTCTCATAATCATACAATCTAGTGTTAATTCATATAATACAATCATTCGTTCATACTAAATTACATTAGGTGTGATTAATAGGTTTCATACACATACATACATGCATTACAATGAAGCAATTATAAACATATATCACACCAACATGAAATCACAACCATCATATACCTAGAATCCAAGTTTGAATCTTCTCTTTCCGGATTCTTTCCACTTGTTCTAGGTCTAGAAACAACAATTTATAAGCAAGGATAAACAATCAAAGGTCTAATTATCCGGATTACAATGAACTCAATAACCCTACACCAACCCTTGATCCCCATACCCAGATTAGGGTTTTTTCCACCATAGATTCTACATCAAAACCCTCCCTCATCGATAATTACCCAAGAAACTAAGTTCTACGGATCGAAAAATAGATTCGGGGAGTGAAAACCTTACCTTTAGCCTCAAGAATGGTGGAAACTGTCAAGAATCACCTGGGGTTTGTCTCCTTACTCTAAAAATTGAAAAATGCAGAATAAAGACATTTTGGGGTTTATTTCCTACTTAAGTCACGTCAGACCCGCCACAGCGGTCCTCACCCCGCTACAGCAGCCCCGCCCTAGCTGCAGAAATCCCACCCCAGCAGCTTGCACGGAACCAGTGAGCTATTTAAATAATTCCAAGACCCTCATTTCACAACAAACCTTCAACCCACGACACTCAGAAAATACCCGGTCACTCTAAGTTCAATTGCAGGAGTTCTAATAGCCTGAATTAAATTCGGTAAAGTCGTATGGGTTTCTTAATATCTTATCTATCTACTCATGTAATCAAATTCATAACTAGATTACCCAATTGTTACCTGATTTCCCTAGACCTTACTTACTCTTGTTTCATCCAAATCTGGACTAGGTTAGGAAATCTCAAGTTACTATGAAAAAATTTCTTGTCCCCAATACTTTCCCTATTGACTTTTCCATAACGACGGAAATAAGGTCGTTACAACTCCACATGTTGTGACTCGAGAACTAGTGGAAATAAAGGACTTATACCCTGCCCCAAAAATCATTTTGCAAAACCCATGGCAGATCAAGAAAAAGATTACCCATAATGAGATCGTTGTTGGAATGCAGATGATTCCATTTTTCAAGATGTTTGAGTACATCATTCGATACTGGATTTTGGACATGGCCAAAACTTTGGAGAACAGCTGTAGTGTGTGTGTTGACATGTGGGATGTAACTGAAGGGAATGTCTCTAAGAAGTATGAAGGTGGAAGTGTTTGGCTCAGGAAGGTGTACAGTGATGATTTTTCTCTTTGGTGCATCAAATTGTTCAAGGATCGCGGATTTAGCGATGGTGACGAAATTGGACTTTATTGGGATCCTAGATTTTCCTGTTTAGTGTTCAAATTGCTTTCTCAGGTTGGCTCTTAATGGAAAGGTTCAATAATTTAGAACCAGAAACAGCATAATATCATAGTCTTTCGTTTAATATTACTATTTCATAAAGTTGTAATAGCTTAAGACATAATTATGAAATTGGAATGCTAGAAGTTCCCAATTTAGTCTACGCAGTTCCGTTTTTGCACTTATGTTTTCATTCCCTATTATTATAGTGTTCTTTTAAGTTTGTATAATAATTTAGATAGTTGTGATGTTCTTTGTCAACCTAGAAATAAGCTTAATGTGAGAAATAAGTTGATATATTCACAAAAAATGCCTTGAAATAAGGACATAACATGACCTAATTAAGGACCCCATTTTGGCACACCCTCAATGGTACAAGATTTCCCCTTAATTGTTGATGGATTTCGTACAATAGAGTGCAATAAATAAGATATCTATAGAAAATAAGAGTACAGAGTATTAGGGCATGTTTGAATAAAGGAATGTAATTTCTAAATTGAACAGAGATGTATTGAGTTAAGACAACTAATTTTGTAACAATTTAGGGTCTAAACTCTTTCAATAATCTAACCGAAAGCTTTTGCATTAGCAAAAGAATAATGCTACATTCATTCAATTCTTTGTTTCCATTTTTCTGCTTAATCGAAGTTGCTCGATGCTCAACTGTTTCTGAAAATCCTAGCTAATAACTAGAGCGAAAGAAGGAGAGATGAAGAAAGGCAACTTCAACTCTTGAAATATCAGTAGAGAAAAATAAATATCCATAATAGTAGAGTCCATACCTTAAATAAGGTAAAAAGAGCAAGTTGTTTGGTCTTGAAAGGTCTTAAAGAAAGCACATTCTTTTTTAGTCCATACATTTTCTGCAGTTTTACTTGAATTTACCGATATCATTGATCATCTTCACACCTCAATTTTGTTGATCTGAACTGATATTGTACTTGAATTCTAGTAATCATGTGTCTGCATTAGAATTAGTCAATGTAGTTCTCCACGATTCATCTAACAGAATATTTACAGTAACATCAAAAAGATAGTGTCCATTTTGTTGTTTTCTGGGCTTGTGACTGCACTAAATGCAGCAACCAGATTCATGATTTTCTTGAAAATTGTATTCATTGTATGGATATTGTAAGTAGTAATGACTATTCTCTATCCATTGTGAAATTGATCAAGGATCGCAGATTAGGTTTTGGTGATGGAATTGGGTTATATCGGCATCCTAGTTTATTATCAAGGTTTATTTTCAGATTATTTTCTAAGGTTCATTATTCAAGAATTAGGCCTGTATTTTTCTTTCGTACTTGTGACTGGAATATCTAGATTCTCAAATTTTTGTCTGATTTTCTGCACTTGTATTAGCAAGAAAAGCTTGGCTTACAGTTGTGTAAACGATTTAAGAATTAGGACCAATAAGTTGATGTATATGGAGTATGAGTATATGATGGTTTTGCAGATACCCAAATTTTGTCTTCTTAATCTATTTTTTTGTATTGAGAGTAAGAGTTTAGAAAAGATTTCTAGCACAATCTGTTATTCGATAACTAAGATATGAGTGGCTATACAGTTCAATTCATCGGTTCGCTCCATATGAAAGATCTTGTGCCTCAATGCATGGTTATACAATCTTGAATATCATGCCTGAATAGCTAAGATTTGAATTAGAATGAACAAAGAACTGATAATTATATATGGTTGTACAGTTTTGAGTATCTTGTGATAACTCGAGCTATTTGATCACAATTTTTCCAAAACATCTTGTACTATCATTCTTGAAAGGTCTTACAACAAGCACATTCTCTCTCAATTTGTATATTTCTTATGATAGAACCTTTTCTATGTTTTTACTTGAATTTGTTGTTATCATCGATGGTCTTCACATCTCGATTTTGCTAATCTGAACTTGTTTTGTACTTATATCCTAGTAACCAAGTGTCTGCATTAGCATTTGTCATTGTAGTTCATCTAACAAAATATGTGTAGTAACATCAAAGAGATGTTGTCCATTTTGTTGTTTTATGGGCTAGTGACTGCAATAAATGCAGCAAGCAGATTCAATGGAGATTGTGAGTAGATATAAAGTTGTCATAAAAGGCAAAGTTTAAATGGTCATTCTGCCGAAGTTGATATAATCACAACAGATGCCTGGAAATAAAGACCCCATTTCACGCACAAACTCACATGTAGAAGATTACCCCAAGCTTGTCTTCTCGCATCATATCTGCAACATATTCCTTAATCATCACGGCTGAATCTTTAAGTTGATGTCTTCCGTACTGTGTGATTGACTTTAATGAAGCAAAATTATTTGGGATCTCCACAATACTTATTCCTTGTGCATGGGAAAAGATTCCTCTGGGTCTTCCAAATAGAAAAGGTTGAGCTGATATAGTTTTCTCAAATTCTCTAACGTTGTGTCCTCTTATAACCCAGTTAGTTCAAATACAGAATAATCATCAATTCTCATATGTAGTAGCTTAGCAAGTCTCCAAATACTAGGTGATAGTACACTGTTTGATATGTTATTCACCACCAGAGTTTTTCAGCAAGTCTAGTGTTACAAACTTTGTTTCACTAGTTTTCTCCGTTGATTGATTTCTCCTCTAAGTTGCAAAAAAGAATGGATACCTTCCTGGTAAGTGTTCCAACACGTGCCATAATAAAGAACAATTTGTCATTCATTAAAGACTTTTCTAACGAGGCACAAAAAATCAATAGCATTACATTAAGGGTACACATTGTGTAATTTTCTGAAGTTCGATAGCATTTTTGAGCCTTTTTCCTTTAATAAATGACCTTATTTAAAAAAATCTCATAACGATTATGTATTGATGTGCCGCAAGTTATAAAAGCTTATTCTCAAAGACCAAAATAAACAATTAGAAGACTTAATAACTGTCTGGTTGTTTATGTAGAGAAGGGGCAAGGCAGTTAAAAGAGGGTGTTCAGGAAAAGGAAAAGGGAATTTGGGAGAGCTCTAGCCTCTCAAATGTCTAGAAAGGTTGTGATCTAGTTAATCGTAGATTATGTATTATATAACTAAAATTCATTCATGTCTTTGGATGAAATTTGTGGTATTGGCAGTGTCCTAGTGATTGTATTTTGATTTCTTGTGTAATATCAATGTATCTGGTGTGAAACATCAATATCTATTCCTTTATTTACTATTTCAGCAATAAAGTCAATCAATTTGGTATTAAAGGAGCAACTTTCCGAGATGGTGAATAGATTGGAAAGACGAGTAGAACAAGTGGAGTCTAATTTGACAGGGGTAAGAGAAGATGTCAAAAAACTGGAAGGGTGGTTTCAAGAAATAAGAGAGTCTCTTGCGAGAATTGAATCACATGGGGAACCATGATGGGAGAATCATCCCTTTCTCAAACTAGATTCATCGAAAACTATCGGAAACTAAGAAGAGAGAAGCGATGTCAGCTTGGCTGGAGAAAAAAATGGGAAGAAATTTTGGAAACCACAACTACCAGTTTTCGAAGGAGATGATCTTTTAGGATGGATTTTCAATGTGGAACGACATTTTGGAGTAAATGAAATTTCTGAAGCGGAATGATTACATGCAGTAGGTGTTTGTTTGGAAGGAAATGCCTTAAATTGCTATTATTATAGGTCTAGGCAACCAATGTTAACCTGGGAAAACTTCAAAGGGAGTTGTTAAACCGATTTCATCATTCTCAGAAGATCAATCAGCATGTTGTTTTAATGGGGCTGAACCAGGTTACAACAGTAACCGCGTTTTGTGAAGAATTTGAAAAGGTGTCAGCATCTAAGCAGGAGGTGTCTGATGGGCTGTTATCTGGCATATTTTTGAATGGGCTGAAAGAGGAAATTTGTACCTTGTGTAATTTTCTGAATGTCTAGAAAGGTTGTGATCTAGTTAATCATAGGTTATGTATTATATAACTTATATTCTTTCATTTCTTAGGGTATTATTTATGGTGTAGGAAGTATCCTAGTGATTTCTTGTTGTAATATCAATGTATCTAGTCTGAAACATCAATACTTGTTCCATTATTTACTATTTCAGTAGTAAAGTTGATATGTGCCCTTTTGAGCAAGCTGATAATCTTATGAGAAAATGTCCGACTATGATCTAAAATTATGTAAGTTCTTACTGACATGAGACATTAGCCTATTATGTTGTATCTAAGGTTGAGAAATTTATGAGCAGTCGATGTTGATTGAACTGGATCAAGAATGATAGAAGATCTACTACTAGCTATTTGTATATTTGTTGGTGGAAATTTGATATCTTGGAAGAGTAAGAAACAAAATGTTGTATCTCGATCTAGTACAAAATTCGAGTATAGAGCTATGGCTCAATCCATCTGTTAAATACTATGGATGCATCACCTTTTAACTGAGATTGGTTTGGAGCCTTCTTCTACAGCAAAACTTTGGTGTGATAATCAGGTTGCTCTGCATATTGCCTCAAGTCCAGTGTACCATCAACAGACAAAACAAATAGAAGTTGACTGTAACTTTATCCATGAGAAAATTTAAGAGAACACATTTTTCACTTGATATGTGAAAACTGGGGAGAAATTGGGTATAATATTTACGAAGGCTTTAAGTAAAAATCATGTGGAATATCTTTTTAACAAGTTGAGCATTATTAATATATATGCTCTAACTCCAGGGGGGAGTGTTGCAGAATGCACATAGACAAGTCTACATATATTATACATTGCACTATCATAGGTAGAGAATATGTTGAAATATTAGGGATTTTTTTAAAAAAATTTCCTTACATATATTTACTTGTACACCTACAAATAACCGTTATTCTTTCAATAATACAACAAGGAAATTGGTCCATTGTCTCTGTGTTTTACACTTGAACAACAGGGTGTTTTTCATTTGCGAGAAAGTAGCAACGCACACTTCTTTGAATTCAATCAATTCCATTTCAATCTTTTGTTTACCTCTGTTGGTCCTCTTTTTCATTGCAAAATAAAATAATCATATATATATATATATATATATATATAAATATAAGAGAACCCTAGACCTGC